GACTCGGCCTTTGCCCCGGCGTGTAACGAGGCGCCTTGGCTGCAATCTGACGCGGCGGGGGGAGTTTTGCCAGGCCGCCAGCCAGGCCTGCCCGTCCCCAGGGGAGCGGGAGGAGGGAGCATCCCCAGTGACCCAGGCCCACTACGGGAGGGGAACTGGGAAGTTTCCACCCGGGCGCGACCCCGGCTCTCACCTTCTTCAGCACCCCAGCCATGGTGCGCGACACGCGCTGCACTGCGGTCCGGGCACGGCAGCGCAGCCAATGACGACTGAAGGCCGCAGGTGTCGATGAGGCAAGGCCTGAGAACGAGGCTGGGAGGAGGGGCTATCTCCCAGTGCGCGTGCTTGTGCGGCAAGGTAGTTGCTCGCCCGCGCTGCTGCTTTGCGGGGCGGGCATGCGCTCTGCGTGAGAGCCTCGGGAGCAAAATGAACAGGCGCTGCCTGAGCTCAGCGGGGAGTCCATGAGCGGCTTGTTCAGCGCAGCGCCTGTGCCTGTCTAGCTCCCTCTGGCGGAAGGGGGGTCTAACGGCAGGCGGGCTGAACTCTCAGGAAATCGCAGTATGAATGGGGTCATGAAGCCAGAATCCTAGGGTTGAAAGAGACCTGAGGAGGCTGTCCAGTCCTATCCCCTGCCCAAAGCAGCCAACCCCACTACAGCCACCCAGCCAGGCCTTTGTCAAGCTGGAACTTAAAAACCTCTAGGGATGGAGATTCCACCACCTCCCTAGGTAACCCCTTCCAGTGCTTCACCACCCTCCTAGTGAAATAGTTTTTCCAAATAGCCAGCCTAGACCTCCCCCCCCCCGTAACTTGAGACCATTGTGCCTTGTTCTGCTGCTGGGTATCTAGGTAGCTAAGGCTGTCACCAGAGCCTCTCACCATCCTCTTTGGAACTCCCCTTCAGGTAGCTGAAATCTGCTATCAAATCCCCCTCCTTCACCCTTCTGTAGAATAAATAAACCCAAATCCCTCTGCCTCTCATAAATCATGTGCTCCAGCCTCCTAATCCGCCCCCCGATGGACCCCCTCCAATGCGTCCACATCCTTTCTCTTGAGTGAGCCTGCTTCTGCCAGCCCTGGACATGCCACATGTCAGGGTATCTGAGCCACAGAGTGACATGGCCTGTAAGGTGACCATATTTTCTGAACCAAAACTAGGGACACATTAGCCACACACCCTGACCCCATTAGCCATTCCCCTGGCCCCCATTAGCCACCCTCCTGACCCCCATTACCCATGCCTCTGGAGGTAACACTCTCAGAGTCAAGATGGACACATGACCAGAAGTAAAAGGTGTCATATGACCCCCTTTGAGAACTTTTCCCACTATCCTTCTACCAATAGGGATGAGTTTGGGCCCCACCGAACCCCTCTCATGCAACTATCCTGCAATTGCATTAACCCAATGTGTGTCACATTAACTCCGGGGGGGG